AGTTGGCAAAAGCCAAACGAGCTTTTCGAATCCGTGATGAGATTTCGTCAGACACCAACCCATTGTTGAAGTACATCGATAATTTTTATACTGATGATCACTGTACATCATAAACTCGTAATTCTTAATCATTCCGGCCAAGTACAACCAACTATTATGCTCCGATATCCGTACATTGAAGTAAAAGCTTCATTTAAATGCATTATATAAAAACCTAATATTTAGAACTTATCATTTGAACTATTGTATTATGGAGTACAATAAAAGAATTTTCACCTGACAAAACAATAAATTTATTAATAAAACTAATATATTTGTAATATCTCAATGGGTAGAAAAAAAGTAATTTTTTGAATTTTCTAACGTTTCGTGTCTCAGTTTAAGCCACTTCTTCAGAGAAGAATAACAATCTATCCAATGCTCAAATTATTTGCAATTATCAAGTTAAGCCTTGATAATAACACCTACAAAATGAATTTATGTTTGTCTTTCATGGATTTTAAGTGTACACAATTATGTTGACCAAACTTTCTTTAATATAACAAAGTCATAGGAAATATCTAGTTGACTATCCAAAGATTATTGTCAGTATATGAATGTTGTATGACAAAATATTCGGATAAAAAGGTCATCTTCTGAAAAGTAAAATCAATAATACATTTTAATATGACAATCAGAGCATGACAATTTCAATTAGTTTCAAGAAACCTTGTTTCATTCATAATTACTTCAAAAAACATAGATGATAAATATATCTCATTCAGGGTATAAAAAACAGTCAAACTGAACCAGGAGTATTCCAACAACATTGGAAAGAAATCTCACTAACATTAAGTAAGAACCAAACACTTGAACAATAAACTCAACAGTTCATAATTCTAAACGATCTACCAAAGAAATACAAAACGCCAGTATTTGACTGTTTTTTCTTCATATACATTACAAACAGAAAATAATTGTTAGGGATGTTAGATCCCCAGAACTCATTTGGCAAGTAACTTATTTTTGTAATTTTATTTTAAGAATTTGAATTTTTTTTCGCACCAAAAGCGTTCATTTTCACCTTCATGTCGTATTCCCCACATGAGGGGGACCTTAATTACCATTGGTTCGTTGTATCCCTTAGTTTGTTATTTTTTAACGCTTCCCAGGGTCAATTTTATGCTATATATACGATTGATTTGTGCTTGTTGTTATTGCTCATGCTTCTGACTACTTGTGGAATATATTTCCCTTTTCCTAACATGTACTTCTCTCTCTCTAGTTAACGGGGTTGAGATGTGTCAGAATAGCTTGCTTATTTGTCATTGTATCACAAATTCTTCGTACCGTTCTCAGATTAAGTGAACTCATAATCGCTTCAAACATAGCAATAATAAAAGTGAGAAAAAAAGAACAACAAAGATATAAACTGTAAAAATCACTTGAACAAAACAAAAAAAATTGGCTAGAAAACTTAAAATAAAAATTTTTTTCAAAAAAAATTGACAAAAATTTGATTGGAATTGTAATAAATAGTGAATTTTAATTAATTTGTGATTTTCTATCCAACGAAATAAAATCCATAGTGACACTTCACTATTGAATTCAAAACTGATAAGATTTTTACAAACAGACAAATGAAGATAAATAAACTTTTTTTGGCTTTCAATGATGAAATACACACACACACACAAACGGTTCATCTCAATTCGAACTTTTTTTATTATTTAAAAAGAAAAAGGCATAGATACTAATACAATTTCATGATTCAAAGCATTTTGTTTTGTCTTCTTAATTACTAAGAGATAATTGAACGTTTATTAGTAAAATAATCATTTCTCTAATCTTGTATAAAATTATCCCAGTAAAGTTGAAAAAAAAATTAGGATCAACAATTATTTTCATTTTCATAGTTGAGATCTTGAGTCAATTGAAGTTAGATCACTATGGAAAACTTGGAAGCACTGAATAGCCGTTTCGTTCTACTATCGTGGATGTGTCGCTTAATTTCATGGATTTGTTGAAGTTAGATATTAACATCATTGAATGTCTTGGATTTGAATCTCGAGAGGTAGGATTGTGGATGAGCACTGATGAGAAGTCCCACAATAGGACGAAACGACCATCCAGTGCTTCCAGATTTTCCATGATGGTCTAGCTTCAATTGACTCATTATCTTAACTATTGAAATTACTATAATATTCACAAAACCTCTTCTGATATTTATTATTTTGACGAAAATGAATTTTAGATAAATACAAAGTCTAAAGTTATTTCACATCAATTTTCAAAATCACATTTATTGGCGTTCAAACAATGTTGCTGTTTTAGTTAACTAAGTCTATATCTGGCTTTACTTTTCTGTGGCGTCCGTTTCAATCATATAATATGAGGGTCTAGAAATCGATTTCTTATGACTATTCAACAGTTCTCATACAGGAAAACAGTTGAAGATAACAAATTATTACAGAAGAAAAACATGCTTATTTGAGAAGTGCAACAAGAAATCGTCATTATCTTCGATTAGGTCATGATGTTTTTAGTAGTTTCCTAATTTATAAATCAATATTTTATAGGACTATTACTAGTGGCTAGCTTCAAGATGGATTTCCTGGAGTTGTAGTGAGAAGCCTCGGCCAGTGGCATCCAATCTGTGTCGGGTGTGAAACAGTTATCCACCTGAGACAATGGGTGAAGGGTTGCACAAGATATCAAGGATCAATCTAAATTGGAAATTAACACTGTTAGATAACGGCTCAGTGGCCTAGAGGTTGTGTGTTTGCGCGCGAGATTGAAGTGCCTGGGTTCGAGTTTCATGTGCGATATCATGGATATGCACTATTGAGGAGTCCCATACTAGAACAAAACGATCGTCCAATGCTTCCAGGTTTTCAATGGTGGTCATGCCTAGTTTGACTCGTGAATTCAACTGTGAACCTACTACGATATCCACAAATCCAATGCTAATAAAACCATCATAGATAAGTTGGTGTATTTGTTGAGTCCATATGTTCTGCCTAGATAAAATTAGAGAATAACTTACTATTAGCAATATGAGATTATCTAATTATATACTTGTAATAGTAAATAATTTATCTTGTAACAATAGATGAAGAATTATTTTATTAAGCTTCACGATTAATCATTATTGATTACGTTTGATACATTCATTATCTTAATTGCGACTTTGGGAAGTATCGTTTTCTGTCAGAAGACACTATGAAGAGCTTTGGACCACATCATTTTTACAACTTTGTATTTTGCAGCAATCTACAGTTGTTGAAATCGTATATTTACAGAGAGTATTTGTAATTCAGGAGGACATTTGATATAAGAATTGATTATTTTCTTGAGAAAGATAACAGAAGCTCCTCAATTAAACCAATCAACCTAGAAAATACAGAGCTACCAAAACCAATCACCTGAGCTATTGGTCCACTCCATCACTTTGAAATTACTCTGATAATGATAAAAGTTCGTTTGGTGATTTTTTTAACGCTTAATATCAGTATAATTTTGAAGTGATCTCAGGAGGTAGATACTGATTTCATGTGACCAAAGAAACCTTTTTTTGATAACTCATAGTGATTGCTAAACAGTAACCGTAAACTACTGTCATCTTTCAAATTAGTTATTAAATGACTTCTGACTCTTATTATTGACACATTTTGGCAGAATTCCGGCTCTATTTAAACAATTTGATTTTTTCTCCAAAGTTGACTTTCAACATTAAAAGACGACTGGGATTTTATACAATTACACCAAAACACATACTCTCAAGTTCACTTCCATTAATAATGTTAGCAAGATTGTTTCTTAAATATGTTGTACGATTGAATGGCATTTTACAAGGATGAAGTTTCTACAAATTGATTATTGTAAGTAAAGGAGAGTGAAGATATTTGAATTTCATTGAAATCATTAACCGATTAGCGTTGGGCCACTATTGAAAACTTAGAAACACTTGACATTCGTTTTATCTTAGTATGAGATCCCTCAGTAATGTACATCTACGACCATGCACATAGGAGTCGAATACAAGACCTTCAGTCTCACGTGCGAATTACTAGCTATACCAGGTCAATTAGTATAGGGGTTGTGGAGATTATTACGTTTCTGATTGAGATCATGAACCGATTGATGTTAGACCACCGTTGGAAACCTGGAAGAACTGGACGGCCGTTTCGTCCTATTGTGGGACTCCTCAGCAGTGCGCATTCACGATCCCGCCCACGGGATCCGAACCCAGGGCCTTCAGTCTCGCGCTCGTACGCTTAAACTACTGGATCGTTGAGCCCGCATCCAGTGGTGTTAGTGTCTAACATCAGCCAATCCACGAAATTGCGTGACCATCTTCCATAGTACTGCGGTAGATACCTGTCTCTACCCGACAAGGATTAGCTCCACTGATCACGGCTTCTCATTAGAACTCCGAGAATTCCCTCACGAAGCTAGTCACTAGTGAGCACATGTTAGTGAATGTTAGTGAATGCAAAATTTAATCTGCAAACTATATCTAAATACCACTATACTGATTATACCATTTTTATGATTAAATTTCAGTAATCAGTGGTCTTGTGAGTATACTCAAATAGTTAAGCCTAGAATGTTTAGATTATAAAGATAAACATTGAAATCTTTAATTTCATTATAATTTGAAAAATTTAAACATAGTCCGATACAGCAGTAAACCGTAAATAATACTCTAATTAGATGTGTGATCCAGGATAGAATGGATTGGACAATACTGGTCAGCGGCCTATGCTCCGTTACAAGTAACAGGCGTAAGCAGGTATGCAGTTCAATATATCATACTATACATTATTTCGAATGAAGAAAAAAGAAGATTAATTCTAAAATCAGATTTTATTAGCACAACGAAACATGATATTATTATTTCACAAATATTCTATTCAAACAAAACTTCTAAACTTCATTTTCTTTTCTTTATTCCTTGTTTGGTAAAATAAAGTATGTTTATAATATACAACTGAATATCAAGTGATCAAATGAAAATCTTTTTTTTACATTTTACATACAATTTCTTTTATCAATTTGATAACACATAAAGGAACATTGTTTGAATGGTTTATTGATTTAAGTGAGATTTTATCTTTACTTTATATAGATCGATTTGAACATGAATAATTCCTTGGTTATTGAATATTGAAAAGCCTAAAAAAGAATCAATAAAAGTTTGATTAGCATATTAAATCTAGATAGATATTTCATTAGTTAAGATCATGAGTCAATTGAAGCTAAACTATCAGTGGAGTTCAACCGGGTCAGTTGTGAGATAGGAACACATTGATGAACAAATTGATGGTGGATGTGTCGCTCAATTTCGTGGATTAGTTGAAGTTAAATATTAACACCGTTGGAGGGTCTAGTGGTTAGGCGCTCGCGCGCGAGACTAATATGTCCTCGGTTCGAGTCCTGCGAGCGGGATCGTGGATGCGCACTGATGAATAGTCTCACACTAGGACGGAACGGCCATCCAGTGCTTCAATGCTTCCCATGATGATCTAGACCCAAATGACTCATGATATCAACTATTGAAATTACTACAATCTTCACAAAACATCTGTTACTAAATAAATATATTAATTTAGATAAAAATACTAATCAATATGTAAGCCAAAAGTTCTCGATTTATTTTATTCTTAAATTTGAAATGCAATATGGCAGTAAGAATTCGAAAATAGTTCGAGATTTTCATAATTAGGTTATAGACGAAGGTTTGGTGTCTATGGTTTATAAAAATTAGATATCCGTATCAGTTAACAATATCGTTTCTTTCTTTCATACTGGTAAAAACCTATCAATGTAACAACAACAAAAAAAGTGGTATTCCTATGTACATGTAACTAACGTCTTCCAAGTACAAAAGATGAAATAATAAGGAGAATTACTATTATTATTATTATTGGTGGTGGTGGTGGTGGTTTTATTCACTATCATATTTTTGGTACAACATAGAATTCTCAGCACAAACTATTTCACAACAAGTTCCCGTTTCTTATTTCTTAATCGATCCTGATGATAAATATTGAGTGATCGCCAATTAGATGTTAGTTGTTCAGGAATCATTATCTGAATGGTGTACACTCTTTTCGATGCATATTACCAGAAACCACATCTCTAATTGTGTTCTTACCTAACTTGTACAGCGAGATGTCGTGAACTTTTGACGAACGCACCTGAATAGGTTATAAGACTAATAGACATAATGATGTGTTAAAACAAACAAGAAAATAGATAACTTGTTGAAATATCCAGATGGCAGGAACAGGTAGCCCAGATATTTAAGCAGGCCGCCTTGGGAGAGGTGGTATAGATGTCATTATCATATGCTGATTCTGACATTTAAGCAAACGTTAAATCATTCTAAGAACAGTTAAAGAAAGTTGAATTTAAACAACTGAAAATATTGAGCCTATGTTCAAGTAAAAAAATAACAGGATTTCCTTAAAGCAGTTTACAATCAAACTTTTGTCTAACTTACAAAATTAGTTTTTTCAGCATTCTACCTAGCTAGATAATTTAGACGGTTGTTTTGTAAAAAATGCAATGAATTATACTGGTAAAAGGATATGTTTTATTTAAGTATACTGCGCACCAATGAACAGAAGGAATACATTGAGAAAAAGAATAGTATGCTGTTAAATGCCTAATGAACTATATAATGTTGAAAGGCCACTTAACACGTCAGATATACAAGTGTCAAGGGACTATTGTGAATAAGAAAAACTACTCATATATTCAAGGTAACCACTCGCGCGTCCTTGTCTCAATCATTAACATATCACTGTGTACTCATATGCTATTTACGACCTCAGGCCATTAAGATTCATATTCGGTTTTTTTTTCTCTGTACAAATGGTTGATTAGACGTTAGATAGCGTTAATCAACAACTAAATCCGACGGAAGAAGAACAAATTACTGTAAGAACTTCGGGAACATATTTCGATATAATAACTAAACATCTAGGAAGACGGTTTACGACAAATCATCATCTATATGATGTGTTAATTAAATATGGATTAAATTATTCCAAATAGTTATAGGTCGTAATTAAAATATTAGAGCAAAATATTTCGTTCGAATTAAGAAAATCAGGAAACAAATATTTTTCTAAACTTCAGACTTTCATTATAAGCAAAGATGGATAGTAGCTAACAGTGGAATCCATGGCTCACATTTCGTCCTATTTAGATAGCGCGAAGCCGATGGAAAGGGATGGCACTGGGTTCGAGTCGCAGGGTGAACATCAACTCTGAGATGCAGGTGCATCCGGCTGACGAGTGCTAAATAGGACGAAACGCGCGTCCAGATTCCACTGCCCGTTCCACTACCTATCTCTGTTTATAATGCTTGTGAATTAAGGCAATATCGAGGCAATAAGCGCAGGATGCACATATGCCAATAGGAGACTTATAAACTGCAGTCCTACACATCGATTGGAAGATTCAAGTAAACAATAACAAGTGGATTAAGACTTTAATTATTCTGTTAACCATAAAATTTATTTTATTTCATTTATATATTAAACGAGCTCGCTTTATTTTTTATTTTCACAGTTGAAATCACTAGTCGATCTGAGCTAGACCACCATTGAAAACCTGGAAATACTGGACGATTGTTTGGCCGCAGTATGGGACTCCTGAGCAGTGAGCATCCACGATCCCGCAAGCAGACAATTTATTAGTTTTATTAATCTTTCGGCAAGGTATATCATATCTAGTTCCAAATGTTTAAATCTATCAATGATCATTTGAAAACTATTTCCTAGAATTGCTTAGCACTTTTTTCGCTGGTTGAACTAGCGTTTTTCATGGCACTATAGTTACTCAGGTGTATTAAAAATAGAGATATTAATCATGAGATGGTGGAGAAGATTTGTAACTCAGATGGATGATTTTGGTGGAGTTTTGCTCTCTGAGCTGGATGGTTTGGTCGTGGAGCTCAGAGAACAAAACTCCACCAAAAACACCAGAGACTTTTTAGAAGCCTGGCACTCAGGTCAATCAGCAATCAACAAACATATTGAAATCAATCCAATTTATCAACCAATCAGGAAATCATGCATAAATATGGGAACAAAAATCAAACCAATGGGAGACACAACCAAAACAAAGAAGTAAACAATGATAAATTTAAGGTCAACAAGAACCAATCAACATCGAGGTGCACAGAACAAGCTGTGAAACACATATGGAGAAATTCGAACACTTCACTTCTATCTGAAGTTTGTGCTGATGATGTCGTTCAGAAGAACGATGAAAGCTCCTCGACCAAATCATCCAGCTCAGAGAACAAAACTCCACCAAGATATTATTCATAAACTGCTAGCAGATATTGAGTGGAGTAATCAGGTTTGATGTCAATTGTGCAATCCGCGACGTCCAAACTTTTATATTATGAGGGTGGAAATAGTTGGGATAAAAGCCTTAAATATACGTTTTGTAATAATTAGCTAACTTTAGTGAGAAATACCTGGAATCTTTAGGAAATCGTTTGCTAATTTCAGGTTTGAACCATCATCATCATCCAGCTTCATGGCCTGATATTTAACTACAAATGTATTCAGGCAACATTTAATCTCGTAAAAGATTAAGATACTGAACACAGAGTTGTGACTAATGATGAATCATTTATATGTAATGTCAAACAAAATTTCATCATTCATCAATTTTCAATCAAATCTTGTTCGGACAACTTAGTCCCATTACTTTAAATTCGCTGAACTGTAAAGATAACCTATTCACATTCCTCAGTAAACTTACTCTCTTTTGTTACAATCTGAAGTTTTACAGTCAACAGATTGTTACGATTTCTGAATAAGTTCATGCCTTTAAAGAAAAATATTCTATGTAGTAATAAGAGAAATTGATTAGGAAATAACTTAATTTGTAACCAGTTACTATGAACTGTAAAACAACAAATCCATTATTAAACATAATAATGTAAGTTGTTTAAAACTACGTAATATATTCATTAGATTGATTAATATACCGTTTATTTGTGATTAATTCAATATGATATCAATAAGCTATAGATTCTCAAACTATTGATTCATAGCTGGTTTTGATCCGTTCAAAGAATAATCAGTGTGTGTAAATTGATGAATAAAAAGCTGAATAAAGTAATGGAAATTGATAAAGCATGAAATATCATAGATCATATTATACAATATTTAATTTGCGTGTTTCTCGTTAGCATCTTTTTAGCCAAGTTATTTTTAACAGGATAAAGCTGTTGACCCCATTAACAACCCTTTTTCTTTATCTAGGCTTCGGACCAGCAGTAACCCCAGAAGAGCTATAGATGAAACTCACAACAACAGCCAGATAACATCAAAGTCAGAATCTTTTATACAAACGTCAAAACAGTTCTGGTGTATGAAGCTGAAACTTAAAGAAATATTACAACCAAAAAGGTGCAAGCATTTATAATCAATTATCTATGCAAGATACTGAATGCCTGTTGACCGGATATCATCAGCAACAATTTACTATGTCAGAGAACAATGTAGCTTCTAGAGGAATAAGGAATCAGGAAAGGAGGAGTGGGATATAGATTTAGGAAATCATCAAACTGTATCACGAAGCGAGACCTAAATTGAAATCCTGATGAAAAAAAGAAAAGAGGAAGACCAAGGAGCAGATTGCGTTAGGAATTGGAGGCAGACATCAAAAGAATGAATAGCAACTGGAAAGGATTTTCCAGGGCAGATTTCGGTGGAGAATGTTAATGGGTGGCCTATACTCCTCGATGAGTAGTGACAGGTGTAAGTAATTAAGTATTTAAAGAATTTGCTTGTTGAAGAATGACTATACACTCATCATTTCAGTTTGTTATAATTTTCTCTGATTCATACTAGGTTTAGTACTTCAACTACTTCGTAGTATATTCATATATAATCAGGGTAAAACAGTTGCCATAGAACCATTATATTTGCGTCTCTGATTATTTGTACTTAAAACAAGGATCCACTGAAATTCACATGACGTAAAATTAAGAATACGGAAGACTGATACTGAAGAAATGAACTCATTTTTATATTGATTTTAACACATATTTGATAATTAATAAGTAAAAGGTCACATATATGAAATCATAGCAAAATAGCACGTTGCATGTCATACTGTGAATGTAGCATGCGTTAATTTAA